AACGAACGAACGGAGACGTAACAGTATTGTATATGCTTGTTGGTTCAATGCTGATCTTCTAAGTGTTTTTCCCAGATGATCCAATGGTTTTGAAGTTGCTGGGAAGAATAGACAGGTTCATCAGTAACAAGCTGTGTTTAACTGTAAATACATTTTTGTTTTTTAAATTGTTTTAACCCCATGATGCAGTCCTGAAATACTTTACACTGTTCTAGTGGTCGGGTCTTCCAGACCCGTACAAGCAATATTGTATATTTGCTCAAAATAAAAAAATAAGGACTCCTACAAAAATATTTGTAGAGGGATAGGAGGGTCATGGCAACATATGCATCTATAGCAGAATTACTGCACAACAAAAATCATGCTGGGTCTCTTGGACCCAGAAATGCATTCTAGGGTTAAAGAGCCTGATTTTGTGTTTTGATCTATAGAGTTCGTCTAAAGTTTTGATAAAGTAATATTATATTTCTAGGTTCCATGTTTTTCTAGATGTATAAAACATCATATTTGGAAAAAAGCAATACGAGTCATTTAACCTCATATCTATGTTCAATAACATTTTTATCACAAAATTTTATTTAATGAATTGGTTAGTTTTCCTCATTTTTCCAACTGCTATACACATTCAATATCCAGTGTAATTCATCAAAATTGCTGCATTCAAGCCCTTCGACTCTTAATGTTTTCACAAGTTTAAAACTTTTACTAAATATTAGAATACAATTTTCAAAACACAATTCTGCCTAGCAATAATATTCAAAGGCTGCTTACACCTCAAATATTTGGATAATTGTTCCAAACTCTGTTGATTCATCACTCACAATGGCATCCTGTTCACAATTCAACATCCAGATTTATACAGTGAAGTCGAAAGTTAATTGTTTCTCAACTTAGACCTAAGTAGAGAAAAAATTAATCATCATTCACCTTTTTTAACTCCTTACTGCTGGAATTAGAAAGCAGTTCCCGAGATCTTGGGAACTGTAGCTGCTGGCTCATTGCTTCCCCCTGAAGCTTCTCTTTTTCTGCAGCTAATGCATGTTCTCCCTGCAATCTAAGACATGAAAATACTTATAAAATCTAAGGACTGAACTTACGACACAAAATAATTACTAATGTTTACTGAAAGGGATCTGAAGTACAATTTGGAAAGAAAACTAACCCGACAGAAAAAAAAACAACTTGAAAATTTGCTAAAGGTGCATGACACTTCTTGGTGGAAAGCATTACCACAATTCATATTGTTAAATATAATGTTACAGAGGACCACTGTTTCAAAATAAGACCCTAGGGGTTTATTTGTACTTACACTCACAATTATTTGTAGTTGTTCTAATTTTACTGATGCATTTTTTAAAAATATTTGTTAATGAACATCAATAATCAAGTTATTTTTAATCACATTGAAACTATGATTAACTTAACTAAGTAAAGCAAGCAAATTATTCAAACACATGTGAAAACCTTTAGTTGAGAACTGGAATATTTAACCTGATTTGCACATGTGGGCTAAATGACCATGTAATTAAGCCACCTAGGATTAAAGAAGTTGTCCTGTGATCAGAGGGAGGAGAGTAAGTCATCTGTTTGATTTTATACCACAAGGACTTCGTCCAGCTCTTGGAACTAAAAACAGGATTGACTGTCACTTTTATAATACATTCCATGGTTAAAAGTGTAAAACATGTTTAGCATTATTACATCTTGAACTCTAACACACTGACCTAATTGACCATGTCTTAGGCCCTCTTTTATTTTGTAGAGAACAGTACTATAAATAAACTTACAAAAGGGTATTGCATGAAATAGGGTTCAAAATTTACAAAATCTGATGTTTGAAAAAGATGTTTTAGTACCTATTCCAACTGCCAATGGTGAACATAAAAATATATCAAAATTTAGGTCAATTTGTAGTTTTAATGCAACTTTTTAGTCTCATTCTCTTTTGTAAGAAATCTTCAACATCTTATTATTGTCTATACAAAACAGAAGATTGTAATTTATTATTCATGATACTAAAAGTAATGAATAAGAAGTGCATTAATGGGCTTGACAGAAAACACAGAAGCTGCTCTACAAAACTTACCACTCTCCCGTGTAACAAGTCCCATACGCTGTATATGGTTAGCAATGAAGAAAGAGAGAAAGATGTAGAATAGTGAGTGAAGTAACACATTTTATCACAGCTTCAATACACACTACATTATTCACACCATAAGTACATTTTAACCCTGATAATCTACTTTAGAAATCATATAAAATAACAGTTATGGAAACAACACGGTTTGAAAAATATCTGATTTTATTTTATGTGAAAAGATTTAAAAAAATTGTCTAAAAAACTAATAAAGAGAATCTAAATCTATGTACTATAAGTTTGTTTTTTTGTTGTTAAGTACAAAGCAACACAATGGGCTATTTGTATTGTGCCCATCACAGGTGTCATCAAAGCCCAGTTTTAGCATTGTAAGCGTTTCAGACTTACCACTGAGCTGCTGGAGGGAAATATACTATAAGAAATTATACTAAATTCTGTTATTACATCCTTAATGATCTTATTAGATGTTAATTGCATACCCTGTTTTGTGGAAGGTAATAATAGACTCATGTAACTGATTAAGTACTTGTATTTATCTTTATGTTCAAAGCCAAAAGACTATAAAAAAAATGGGATTTCCCCCTTTTTTGGTCAAAAGTCTTAAAACAAAATAGTCCAATACATCACTGGATAGTTTCCAGTTACCATACAAAAACTTATGGTAATGGTCAGTTAATTGTGGGTGTTGGAAGCCAAAAGTCTATAAAAAAGTGGAAATGTGCAATATTTCCCCTAATTAGGCAAAACTTTTAAATCAAAATAGCTCTTGTACAGCATTGGACAGTTTTCAGTTATACAAAATGTTATGGTGATTGAGCTAGCCAACTCTGAGTTAACATACACATCCTTAAAGCAAGAAGTAATACAACAGACAGACAAAAAGCTCGTAACAGAGCAAGTTGTATATACATGGCAGCAACAGCAGTTGGATACTGGTGTTCAAATACCAGCTAAACCATTAAAAATACTCTTAGAACATAAAAACAAGACTTTGTAATAAAAACACTGGTATCGCTCACTTGTTTTTAGAATGTCTCATGAATTGCTGGATTTTTTTTGCAGCTTGGTTTTGGCTTCTCTGGGAGTAGGTGCGTCTAGTACTATTAACACAAAATAAAGAAAAACTTAATGTGTCATGGAAAAATAAATATTAACTTAACGTTAGCAACATCATTCAAAAACAGTAATTTAGATTTTCATTAATATTATCAAGAATGACTTTAATATACTTTAATGGCAGATATCTCTCACTGTAGAATCTTAACAATAAATTCCATTAATATGTGAGAGTAAATTAGTTACGATTAACTACAGTGTATAATGTAGTTGGTATCTCCAACACAAACATACTTAAAGTCTGATGTTGGAGTTCCTTCACAATTAGAACTAGACAATCTGTTGTTTCCATTTCCATTAGTTTTGTAAAGAGACAGAAAACTGGGGCTTGGACTTTGGCGGCCACCAGTGCCTGCATTAGAACTTGTCGAGAGTCCCTGGCTTTTTTTTAACTTCTTCAGTTCACAGTAGTTACGGTATTGATTCTGTATTACCTGAACTGCTCTAGTTGTTTCCTTGTAGTACAGGTACTATAAAGAAAATTAAGAACTTGCTTATGGATACTAGAAAGACAATTAGAAGTATTATAGTATTTTGGCACTTGTGTATAAAGTTAAAGTCATAAATAACATTCAACGTTAAAAACATTTTAACAATTAAAAACATTTTATTTAGGCCTATCTATGGCCTTTAAAAAGTTGACGACTCTACATGTTTCGATGTTACACTCCTGAGGATGACGTTGTAACGTCGAAACATGTAGAGTCGTCAACTTTTTTAAGGCCATAGATAGGC